AAAAAAAAAAAAAAAAAAACACAATAAGAAATCACATGGGACAGTGTTTCATCTAATTGTTCAAACGGTGGCCTCCAAGGCAATGCTTCCATGATATTCTCTTTGGCCCACATCCCAGTGGCCATGATGACGTATTTTTGACACAATTTTTTGCCAGAAGTTAGCTGTTCAACCTGCTTTTCTCTCTGCTAACACTGGATTTTCTTAACAGCTTGGAGAAAAGTTGTTTATACCAAATGTTGAGTGAAATATTTGCATACTATGGACTCCTCCACTCTTTTTAGGTTTGTTTCTATTCTAATAGAATACTAATCAGGAAAATTCTTGGAGTTCATCAATCTTAGCAAAGGAATCTTCAGTCAATGAATCACCCAAGTGCTTCTGTATTTAGGTAAGTTTATTCAATACCTGTTTTATTTCATTTTAGAAATAGAATACTGAGTTATGATAATCTTTGCAGGAAATGAACACGTGTCCATTAAGTGGGCAAACACATGTGCCCATTACAATCTAGTCAGCTTCGCTTGGAGAGGCCTCAAGCTGTTATGTCATTACACATTCTTACTTTCCAGTGATACTTTCTGGCTTTCTGATCAGGTACCCAGCACTGTAATAGGCATTTGGTTAATAGAGAATAATCATATATGAGTCTCGTTCTAAAAGTTCCTATAATGCCTGAGAAAGGAGGTGACAGTAACCAAAAAGTTTATAAATTACAGAATACAACATATGGTAATTGTGAGCTATAAAGCTTAAAATCTGTACGTATAGAGATGATAAGAAAAATATATAATATCAATAATAGGAGAGGGAAAAGTAAAGCATTATAAGAGAAAGAACAAAAGAGGAAAGTAGACTTTATGCAGATGAGCATGTGCTACTTAACAGAGTTGGATAAATTCACCATGATAGGAGAAGCAGAAGTTACAGTAATGAAGCTAAAGCTGAATACACAGACCTCGGGCAGTTTTGGAAAAGCCAGCCTGACAACATGCATTCACTACATAAAAGCATTTGGATCTTAGAAGACATTGACTGTCAGGATAAAGTGATCATGGAAAATTATTTTGGCATGTTGCATAGAATTATTGAGAATAATTGTAAAAATAAAACTGAGAAGTTTGGTTGAAAATATGTGACCATAATCTAGCTGAGTAGTGCTAAGGCCTTATATAGGATGGTAGTAAAGAATGGTTGAGGAATTAGTCTTTGAGAGATATTTTCCCTACATGCCCATACCTGATAAAACTAGAGACAGATATAAAGTGATGGGAATTCATAAGGAGAATGGGGAAAATGTAATTATACATCTTAGACTAGGAGTGACTAAATAAAATCCAGCTGTATTTCTGTCAGGCATGTTCAGAGAGTAGAGAAGCCAGTGTCTAAGCGAAAATAATCAAATTACCAGTGAATGCTTCAATATCCTAATCACCACTTTCAACACGAGAATGATGATGAACAAAAAAGTGACAATAATCATCAATATCACGGGTTTATGTAACTCCACCTTCATGGGCAACATTAGACCTGGTGATAACTTTACAAATAACCAATCTTAAAGCTGTGAAAGATATAAATAAGGAAATATTTTCTATTATACTCCTTACTTAGTAACTGATATATCATTTATTTCCAGAGAGTATGGTTGAATGATATCAGTGGATGGGAAGAGATAGGAGATGTGGGAGAACCCAGAAGAGGCAGATTCATATGAAGATCAGCAAAGAATGATGAGAGAAGTCCTGTGCATCTCTTGGTATCAGTAAATAACTAAGCAATAGATATTAAGGATAAAATAGGATTAATTCTTATTTGTCCAATGTAACAGGGAAGAGGCAGGGAGTACTGAGGGGATGATGGGCTTGTGGGTTATGCTGCCAGGTTCAGAAACAGCTCAAGTTTCCCTTCTGTTCTTGTCATGGAGTTTAGAAGTGCAGGGCTTTTTTGAGAACACAGGGACTCCCTTGACTTCTGCTTTATAGTGGCCTGCAGGGTTTTCTCATACTCCAAGTCTTTTTAGGTATGACCCAACTCCATATGAGCAGACATTTGACATGCCTCGTGAGTAGACGTTTTGAACTACAAAGAAAATATAAAATGACGCCAGCCAACTGTACCTGATACCGAAAACCAGTTTCTCATGTCTGAGGTTCTGTCCCAATGGCGTCAAGCATATCACGGTATGTGTTTGAGTTTGGTCTCTAGCCTGACATTTGTGCTTTGCATAGCTTAAAACTTGACTTCAGGATTACAATACTTATTTTTGCTGCAGGATAACATTTAAGAGCAGTGTCCAGTACTTTCACAGTTTTAACTATTTGTCACTTATTCATCTTTCCCAAATGCCACGTTAGAAAGGAAGAGATTTATATTAACTATTGGTGCAACTATTTTTATCAAAGATGACACAGCACGTATTTGATGGTGAGCACCTGCAGAAGAATAAGACATGCATTGAAGAATAACATTTAAAAAAGTATTTTGTGATAAGTGAAAAAAATTCAGTAGACTTCTACTGCAAAACTATAGAATATGTTGAGATATTTGGATTAGTAAGGTAATGAAGATTCAGAAAAAGAAAATAGCTCAACCAAGAAAATTTTATCTTGACCATTTTCCTGTGTTGTTAAAATAAAAAAAAAAAAATTGTCAGTTGTAAGTTAATTGCTGATAGCTAAAGAGGAGAGACTGGAAGAGACGATAGAAATTCTTAAACTTTATTTCCTATAAAACAATTATTTTCAAGAAATTCAGATTCATGTTAAGAGACAAAGTGGCCTTTCCTATGAATCCAGCTGCCTCTGATGATAATGGTTTTGATTGTAATATAGCAGGGTCTACTCCCTTTTTGTTATTCCTCTTCCAAATTTGTTCTTTAATATTCCACTTGCACAAAATTAACTGTGTAAATATGATATTAGTAAGTTCTAAATATTCAAATAAAGTAACAGTGGCAAACGTAATTTTCCACAAAATCTTTATAGACACTCAATAAGCCTCACATATTTTTTCACTTGATATTGACTAATTCAAGTTATGTTTCTAAAGATTATCAGATTTCTTATTTTGTCAACAGGAACCAAGAAAATCAGAGTGCTGAAGCCACATTCATCCTCTTGGGCTTCTCAGAATACCCAGACCTCCAGGTGCCCCTCTTCACGGTCTTCCTGACCATCTACACAGTCACCGTTGTTGGGAACCTGGGCATGATCTTGATCATCAGGATCAACCCCAAACTCCACACCCCCATGTACTTTTTCCTCAGCCACTTGTCCTTTGTTGATTTCTGTTACTCTTCGATAGTTACACCTAAACTATTAGAAAACCTGGTTGTGGAAGACAGAACCATCTCCTTCACAGGGTGCATCATACAGTTCTTTTTGGCTTGTATATTTGTGGTGACAGAAACATTCATGTTGGCAGTGATGGCTTATGATCGATTTGTAGCAGTTTGTAACCCGTTACTCTATATGGTTGCAATGTCCCCGGAGCTTTGTTTCTTGTTGGTGGCTGCCTCATACTCTTGGAGTATAGTCTGTTCCTTGACATTCACCTACTTTCTGTTGACATTATCCTTCTGTGGGACTAACGTCATTAACAACTTTGTCTGTGAGCATGCTGCCATTGTTGCTGTGTCCTGCTCTGACCCCTACATTAGTCAGAAGATCATTTTAGTGTCTGCCACATTCAATGAAATAAGCAGCCTGATGATCATTCTTACTTCCTATGCTTTCATATTCAACACTGTCATGAAGATGCCTTCCACTGGAGGACGCCACAAGGCCTTCTCCACCTGTGCCTCCCACCTAACCGCCATTAGCATCTTTCATGGAACCATCCTTTTTCTCTACTGTGTGCCTAACTCCAAGGGCTCATGGCTCATGGTCAAGGTGGCCTCTGTGTTTTACACAGTGGTCATCCCCATGCTGAACCCACTGATCTACAGCCTCAGGAACAAAGATGTGAAGGAAGCAGTTACAAGGTTAATCAATACCAAGTTACCCTGTTACAAACTGTAAAGTTGGTAAAGATTTATTTATTCATTTTCCAGAGAATTGTGAAAAATTGTCCAAGTGTTCTAGCTGATTTATTGATTCAGATTCCGTTTTAAAATAGTAAAGTAGTGCATGTGTCTAATGTAAATCCCCATTTGATTGATCAGCCAATACCAACGTTCTTGAAAATGTAGTAAATTTGCTGGAAAATAATAAGTAGCACAGTAATTAGAGCTCAGTTTATTTAAATTAAGACTCTTGAATCAGAGTTTGGCAATTAAATATTTCTGAGTTAGTACACGTGATCTAGTAGTTACCAATGTAAATGAAGTCATTCTGAGAACAGGTTTATAGAGATCTTCTGAAAACGTACAGCTTAGCGAGAGAGAGGATACAGCACAGCACAATATAGTAAACATAGTAAACAAAGATCTGTTCAACACTTAGGATGAAATATAGCCAAAAGTATGAGTTTCATTTCACATTTTAAACTGCACATAAGACATGTCTCATCCTTGACATAGTCCAGAATATAGATGGGTTAAATTTTATTTGATAATGTAAATTTTATTTTCTCCCTGTATACTAAGACAGTAAAAAATATTATATTATGCCCTCCTAATATCTGGGGTCACCTGATCTAGCCTGATCTTGGCTGATGAACTCACCTCAGGGCAATAGGTGTGTACATTGATTGGGCAGCTCTATTCCCTTCTTGAACTGTTGGTGTCGCTAGAGTATGTTCTTCCAAAATTAGTGCCTGAGTCATAAAAGGAAACAAGCATTAGCAAAAGCTTCTGGAACAACAGTTTTTGTTACATTCTATTAGGCAATGTGACTCACAAAGCTGAGACCAAAGTCAAGGGTTGAGGAAGTATATCTGCCTCCTATAGCACTTACCAGTTACATAGCAAGGAGTACAGATACAGACAGGAGTGAATTAACTGTATCCAATATTTCAGTCTACATAAGTTTATTGTAAATACTAACTCATAGAAAATATCCTTCCTTGGTATTTCAGATAAATGTAACATAATTTATAATTGGTTTGACTGAAGATTTTATAAATTAATGAATCATTTGATTCACTTAATAAAATGACTGTCTTTGCTGGGTGACTCTGCTTATCGTGATTGAAGATAGATGATACCTTGGTAAATTTTCAGGTGTCATGATCCTAATCTAACTGCAAACAGTTAAATACTACTTGCCTTGTGCAAAGCATAAGCATTTTATCTGTATGTAAAAAACTGTATTTTCACTCACTATAAAGCATCACTAGCACTTTCTGTATTCTGTCCTGATTGCTTAGAAATATATAATACTGTTTTCAACATATTATGATATATAAATATAGTATTTTTTTATTTAACTTTTAATTTTCACCAAATGTCATACACACTAAACTACATGTTCCAAGGAAATACTTTAATACTTTGTTTAATATAAGTATAGGCACTACAGCTCGCTCTTGATTACAATTTACATGGAATATCTTTTTCCATCCTTTCATATTCAACCTATTTGTATCTTTGGATCTAAAGTAAGTCTCTTGAAAACAGTATATAGTTGTATCTTTTTTTACGTTCTTCTAATCTCTCTCCTTTTGTGTTTATTGATTTTTTTCTACTGTACCATTTTATTTTGTCTTCATTTTATATATATTTGTAAAATTATTTTATTGGTGATTACCTTGGGTATTACAGTTTAGATCCTAAATTTACAGTGCTATAATTTGGATCAATGCCAATTTAGTTTTATGAGCAAAAAAAATTAAAATTAAAGAATTACTATTATAGAAATATCAAATATAAACAAAATAAAATAGTTGTGAAGCTATCTAATTACATGTAAAGAATAACATTACAAAACTTTGTCAAGACCTTAGAGTGGAAACTTGAAAACATCACTGAGAAAAATTTAAGAAGAACTAAATAGAGAGATATATACGCTGATCAAAATTCAGTATCATTAAGATGTAAATTCTCCCCAAATTACTGATTAAGTAGAGTCCAAATCAAAATTCAAAGTTATTTGAAACAATTTATATGCTGATTTTAAGTATGTATGGAAATTAAAAATATCTGAAATACTCAAAGTTTTTTATAAAAAACATAGTTGGAGGGCTGGAAGATTTACTGCAAAGCAACAGTAAACAAGGCACTGTGGTTTTAGCAAAAAACAGAAAAATTGTAAATAAAATACAGTTCAGATATAAACCCATATATAACTGGTTTTTAAAATGTGCCAGGAAAAATAGTGTAATTGAATGGGAGAAAATAATATTATCCTTTACTTCACTTCATAAAAAAGTAATTTTAAATGTGTTATATACTTCAACAAACATTTCCAGCTACTAGGAGAAAACATATGAGACTATCTTTGTGACAACTGGTAAATACGACTTCATCAAAAATCAAAACTTCTCATCACAAAAAGATATCGTTAAGAACATGAATACGAAATCCTCAGATTAGAAGTAAGTATAAACAGACTGGGAATAAATATTCACTATACATGATTGTTAATTACTAAGAATATATAAAGAACTCCCTCAAATCATTTAATAACAAGATGATCAAATAAATTAAAATGAACTAATAATGCACAGTAATTTCATAAGAACTATATATGTAGAGAATAATCTCACAAAAATCTCACCAATATTATATGAAAAATAAATGAAACATCAATTTACACTCAAGAGAATTGCTAAAATTTCTTAGGTGGCACTGAGCTTCTGTTTAAAGGTGATTAAAAAAAAAAACTTTGGCAACAGATAGTGGTGATGGTTGTACAACATGATAAATGTGATAAATATCACTGAATTTTACATGTAAAAATGTAGAAATGGCAAATATATATGTATATATATATCACAAAAAAGGAAGTTTTTTTTTTAAAGGCAAAAGTCTCATCTCTTCCAATACTGTCTCCCACTCCAGACTTCATGCTCTTTCCTATCTCTCTTTCAGGTACTTTATTACACATATGTGAATTTTTTCTTTGTAACTTCTACTTTCTACCATGCGTCTGTCAGTTTGTCATACTGTGGTGGCTTGCATGTTTCTGTGATGCTGGAAGCTTTTCCACCAGTATTTCAAATACCAATAGGGTCAACCTTGGTGGACAGGTTTCAGTGGAGCTTCCAGACTAGGAAGAAAGACCTGGCAGTCTACTTCCGAAAAAAATGGCCAGTGAAAACCTTATGAATAGCAGCAGATCATTGTCTGATATAGTGATGGAAGATGAGCCACTCAGGTTGGAAGGCACTCAAAAGATGACTGGGGAAGAGCTGCGTCCTCAAAGTAGAGTCCACCTTAATGACATGGACAGAGTAAAGCTTTCGTGACCTTCATCTGATGATATGGCATGACTCAAAATGAGAAAAAGACAGCTGTAAATATCTATTAATAATCAGACATTAAATGTATGAAGAATGAATCTCGGAAAGTTGGAAGTCATCAAAAATGAAATGGAATGCATAAAGATTGACATCTTAGGCTTTAGTGAGCTGAAATGGACTGGTATTGGCCATTTTGAATTGGACAATAATATGATATACTATAACAGGAATGACAAATTTAAAAGGAGTGGCATCAACATTCATTGTCAAAAACAACATTTCAAGATCTATCCTAAAGTACAGCACTGTCAGTGATAGGATAATATCCATACACCTATAAGGGAGATGAGTTAATATGACTTGTTCAAATTTACACACCAACCACTAATGCCAAAGATGAAGAAACTGAAGATTTTTACCACCTTCTGCCATCTGAAATTGATCAAACATGTAAGCAAGATGTATTGATAATTACTCTTGATTGGAATGCAAAAGTTGGAAATGAAGGATCAGTATTTGGAAAATATGGTCTTGTTGATAGATACAATGCCAGAGATCGCATAACAGAATTTTGCAAGATCACTGACTTATTCATTGCAAATACCTTTTTTCAAATATAAATGGCGACTATACATATGGAACTGACTGGATGGAATACACAGGAATCGAATCTACTACATCTGTGGAAAGAGACAATGGAAAAGCTCAATGTTGTCTGTCAGAACAAGGCCAGGTGCCTATTTTAGAACAGACCCTCAACTGTCATATGGAAGTTCAAGTTGAAGCTGAAGAAAATTAAAACAAGTCCACAACAGCCAACAACCTTGAGTATATTCCACCTGAACTTGGAGACCATCTCAAGAATAGATTGGATGCATTGAACACTAATAACCAAAGACCAGACAAGTTGTGGGGTGACATCAAAGACATCATACATGAAGAAAGCAAGAGGTCATTAAAAAGACAGGAAAAAAAGAAAAGACCAAAATGGACATCAGAAGAGACTCTGAAACTGGCTCTTGAACGTAGAGTGGCTAAAGGGAATAGAAGAAATGATGAAGTAAGAGCTGAACAGAAGATTTTATAGGACGGCTAGAGGCTCCAGGAATTGATGGAATACCAACTGAGATGTTTCAACAAACAGATGCAGTGCTGCAAGTTCTCAGTCATCTATGCCAAGAAATTTGGAAGACAGCTACCTGGCCAACCGACTGGAAGCCATCCATATTTATGCTTATTCCAAAGAAAGATGATCCAGCCGAATATGGAACTTATCCAATAATATCATTAATACCACATGCAAGTAAAATTTTGCCAAAGATCATTCAAAAGTGGTTGCAGCAGTACATTGACAGAAAACTGCCAGAAATTTAAGCTGGGTTCAGAAGAGAACATTCAACAAGGGATATCATTGCTGATGTCAGATGGATTCTGGATGATAGCAAAGCATACTAGAAAGAAGTTTGTTGGTGTTGTTAGGTGCCTTCTAGTCGGTTTGGACTCACAGCAACCCTATCAGGTCCTGAGCCATCCTCATGATCATTGTTATGCTTGAGCCCATTGTTGCAGCCACTGTGTTAATCCATTTCATTGAGGGTCTTCTTCTTTTTCACTGACCCTTCAGTTTACCAAGCATGATGTCCTTCTCCAGGGACTGATCTGTCCTGATAACTTGGAC